TCAACTAATCTCTAAATTCCCCTAATCCATTCGAAAACTTTCTCTCAATTTAAAGACTGTATTATATTTAAATTATTCTATTCTTATCTTAGTTCTAAATTTTAAGAATTTTTTAAAGTAAATTTAATCAATATATCCACAATGTTTTTATTCATACAAATCTATATTTTATTTTCTGTTTGTATACTTAAATATCATTATAAAATGTTATAATAATAATATTTAAATTAAATTATAATATTAATTAAAAATTAAATTAAATTATAATAATAATATTATTATAATATTAAATATATTATAAAATGAAACTATATGCTTTATTTTTTTGAGTTTTTTTGAGTTTTCATAACTTGGTCATTTTAGGTATATTTCTATTTATTTTCTTATTTTAAAATTATTGATAATGACCATAGTTTATAAGTTATATATTTCGTTTTTAAAAAATATTCGAATGTTATATTTTTTATTATAAATTGCTATTTTATATTGATAATAATATAATCAATACAAATATTTTTTATTCAATATTTTATTTCTATACAATATTTAATTATTACTTTATATATATAATTAATAATAATTATATAATTACTAATTAATTAATTATTATAACTGATGGAAAATTTGAACAGCTTTTAATTGGAAGTTAAGTATTTAATGTAAAATTTAATTCATATATATAATTGTATTTCATATTAATTTCTTTAAATATTGATTTTGTTGAAAATATTTAATATTCAATATATAATATTAAATATTGTTTCCAGTAATAGTTGATTATGGGGAAAGAAGAGGGAAGAAATTCAAATTTATAGTATGTATTAAAAAGTTCAAACAGATAAAAAATTATATAAAATGATATCTGAAAATGATTTATTAAAATTTATTAAGATTTATGAAGAATAATAAATGTTCAAGAATTTATATTAGATTATTTTGACAATTATAATAAATTTTCAAAATTTCTTCCTTTAAAAAAAATATAAATTTCAATTTATTGAAGTAATGATTGTCAAATTCTATCGAATATTCCTGTTTTTGAAGAAATATTATGCATGTTCCCTAGTTCTTTTATGACAATGTAATAGAAAAAAAAAAAACAATTTTGAGAATATATCCAAAATATATTTATGATCTTGAAATAATTTTGAATATGATCAGAAATATGAAATTAATCAAATATTTTTATAATTTTTAATAAAAATTTTTTTATAAGAAATATATTATTGATTTAAAATTGATTTCATCGAATAAATTCATACAAAAATTTAGCGTTTGACCGTGAAATTTGAAATAGAAATTGAAAATTTGATTTGACTGTGATCAAAAAGTGAATGTGTAAATAATAAAAGATTTTGTACATTTTTTAGATAAAATTAACCTAAAATATTTGAATAGAAATATTTCTTTGAAAATTAAACACGATTGAAAAACAAAATCTTCGATACAACAATATTATAAAATAATATCATTATAAAATGTATTAATAATAAATAATTAATAATGAAAATTGTATAATAAAAATATAAAATTAATATATAATAATACAAAATGATATAAAGATGACATAAATAAAATTTTGTTAATTTATATCTATTCTTATTTTTAATTAATAATGAAAAAATTTACAATTGCTTAATTAATATTGATATAATGATTGATATATTTTGTTTATATTGGATAAGATTGTTATGGATTTTTTAATGTAGATATTAAAGAACTAAATTCTTAATTCTAATTGTTATAGTAGAAAATTATTTCAAATGTAAACACAAAATGTAGAATATTAATTTTTATTTTTATTATTATTATATTATTTTTATATTTTATATTATTTTTATACGTATACATACAAATAATAAAAAAGCATAAATAATTATTTTAGTTTTAAATTGACGTTAATGACTAAAAATCATTTACAAAAATATTAATGTAACAAAAATAAAAAATTTCATCCAAATTCTAAGAAAAATAAAAATACATGCATCATATTAAATTTTTCACATATTTGCACATACTTCTTTTAAAATTTACAACTTATAATCAATTAAATGCATTAGATATTACATATCATGTACATATTTTTACATACATGTATATATCATGTCAAAAGTTTGAAAGTCGTATATCTCTTAAGAATTTTAATATTCAATCAAAAGAATTTTCAATTTAATTTTAAAAAATCGTAAAGAATTGTTGAAATAATTATCGATATTTCTGAAAATTTTTCATTAGTAACAAAATTAATAAAAAATGTAATAACTGTCATTGAAAATATGATAAAATTTTTGGTTATTAATATATTTCAAATAATTTCAGATTTCAAACATTTCGAATTTATAATTTAAATATATAATATATAATAATTTAAATTAATCATATTTATGAAATGTTTATATTTAAATAATAAATAAGATATTTATTATTTAATCATGATGTAATAATGTAAAGAAATAATATGACAAAAATAAAATAAAATTTTCTTATTTTTTCTAATTATTTATATTTTTGTCATAATACAATCTAAAATGCAATTCAATTTTTATACATCTTAAGTATTGTTCTTTCTCTCTTTTTTTCTCTCAATTCTTCTATATTTTTTTCTTTCTATTTTTATTATTCTTTATCAATTTCTTTTTCTTCTGGTTCATGTTGCAGTATTCAAGCATAATTTCTGCATAGGATCAATGCATCTTGTTGAACTTATTTCCATTTCATAGACGAATGTATACGTGTTAATATATTCATGGTACACTTTTCAAAGATAGAAAAAAATTATATTAGAGATATTAATTAAAAAAAAAAACTACAAACAAAAATTAGTATATAAAAATCTCAATTAAAATTTTTTTATTAAATTACAAACAATTTAAATTTGTTATGTCAGACGAAGCAAACTCTCATATAGAATATATTTATTTAATTATTATAATTATAATTGAATTTCTAGTTTTATTTTAAAATTGAAATATTTTATATATATATAATTAAATTAAATATTTTAGTATAAATTATTTAGTATTAGTAATTATTAATATTTAATATTAATTAAATTCATTAATATAATTAAATTGTAAAAATCTACAAACAAAAATAGTTTCTAATATAGATTCTAATATTGTAGTAAAGAATTATTTCTTGATGCTGATTATTTACAACTATGAGAATGAAATTAATATAAAAAAATGTAAGATAATTATGTTTTATTAATTAAGATAATTATTATGATTAATTAAGATAATTATTAAGATAATTAATATATTATTATAATTATTATTTTAATGTAAATTAAAATAATTCCTATATATATTATATTTTCCTTGCTTGGATTTTTATATTTATATATATAAAATATAAAAATGTTTTGAAAGTTAAAAGAAAAGAAAAGTAAATGAAAAAGTATCACATTTATATTATAAATTTTTGTTATAATTGTGTCATTATTGACACAATTTATATAAAATATATATTTGAATTTTCGAAATTTTAATCAGATTTTAAAAAAAAAAGATTCCTAATTCGATATGAATTTAAAATTCTGACTATGATATATTAGGTCTAAAATTTAATTCGCTGTCTTTATAACATTATAACATTTATAACTTTGATTTAAACATTTCTAATATCTCATTTTATAAAATATAAAAAATATAATATATTACTACCTTTTTTTTATACATTATTTGTATTATTATATATATATTATTATAAATATTATATTGCATATTTCATATATTACAATTGAGACATTTTCTCAATATAACTATTGTTGATAGATATCTTTCTTTTGTTTACAATGTGTTTACAATGTGACCATAATAATAGTTTTATGCGTTTTATTAATATAAATTTATTTTATAATTTAAAAAAAAAATAGACAAGATAAGATATATGATAATAATACTAATTTCAGTATATTAAAGAAGATTTGAAATATTCATGATTTTGACTATGATAAGAGAAAATAAAATGATAAATTGTAACATTTATATTTTGTAACATTTATAATTCTCGTACATAATTTGCAATAAAATGAAAAAAAAACCGTATTTAAATAAAATTTCATGTTCATTTGCAAATCACATTAAATGCATAAAATCGACATTTTTTAATGCCATTATGATGTAAAGTTCGATCGAAAAATTTTCTATGTATATCAGGGAATAATGCTAATGTCGACATATCTTTAGATACGATTTATACAAATATATTAAATGTTTGAAAATATCAAGCATAAAAATATAGAATTTTTAAACATATTAATGTGATTTTCATAATGTGTTTTAAAATTAATAAAATATATATGTAAAATCATATATTTATAAAATTAAATGTATGTCATCGCTATATATACTTTAAATTATAACTTTTATATGGAACATTTTTTCGTATCATATTTTTGCTGTTCACAGATAAAACGGATACACTGCATAATTACATATTTTGTCATCTTATTTTGTTCTTTGAATTATTCGATCCATTAAAGCATTTGCAACTATCAAATTATAAATAATATGAAACAAAAACTAATTTTTTTAATGCTTTTTGTTTCATAACTTTAAACTGACTCTTTTTTCCATTTGTTAGATTCTCTTTTAACATTTCATCACTTTATTGTTAATGATCTAAAAACAAATAATGGGTACCAATTTTTTTTATTGTAAATATAAATTTTACAAAATAATGCTTAAAAAAAATATAGAGACTTTGAAATATAATAAAATTATTCGTAAAGTATTATAATATATTTTTATGTATACTTTTAAATATTAGTAATCACAAGAAGACATAATAAAAGAGGAATGATCTCTTATATAAAGCAAATATTTAATCAAAAACTAAAATAATGAAAAAAATCTTTTTAAAAATACATAAAAATTATTTCACAAAAATTTCAAGATCATATGTATTATAATAATTCTTAACATTTGACAAGGTATACTTTATGAGTTCAAGAAGTCTTATAAATGATAAAAAAAAATATCATAACATTTTTAATTCACATATTTAATTACCTTAAGTAATAAAAATTTTTTAAATTGATTTTTGACCAGTTAAATCAGCTAATTGTATTATCATTATGCGTCGTGTTTTCGTTAAAAAAGTCTGCTACGCAAATGGATACTGTAAAAAATATTGTATTACTATACTGTATTCTACTGTACTATCGTGCACACAGTTGAGCATTCTCACCTTATCACTTACTCCATCCAATGCAAAATTAAATTATTTATGACTCGATAAATACATACATATACATATACATGTACATATGAATTACATAGGCATATTCGTATGTACATATATATGAACTTCTTTCATTTTTTCAATGTGTGAAAGAAGTTTTATAATCATCCCTTTATTTTCATAAATACTTTCAGTTATATGTATGCATTGATTTAAATATATAATTTAAACATATGTATATCCATTTATCTTTACATAAGAAAATTATTATCAAAATTTCTCTGAAATATGATATGTTTTTTAATAATTCGTTCATTTTAACTATTCATTTATTTACGATTTTATTATCCGTTCTAATCGTATTGTTTTCCATTGTACTTTTATAGGTAATGAAATCAAATTTTAATTGAACTTGTTTCGAGGTTATACAGCTTTCGAGATTATACTCTGAGGTATGCTTAGTTTATTGGTGTACGACAATGCTTAAGTGCGGTTTTAACATCACGTTTATCTTGCGTACAGCTGAATAGGAAATTTAAGATGCGTACTAAATACAATAAAATATTCTATAAGATAATAATTGAAGTATATAAGAAATTCAATGTAATTATAATCTGTTGTAAATTGTTCTTTTTTATACGTCATTAACAATCTTAATACACATTCGAAAACGTTCATTTAAATCTTATAGAGCATTGAGACCTGAAGGTATTGATAGGCTCCTTCCTATAAAAGAGGAGAACGCGCGCTTAAGTCGTTCAATCGTAGAAGGTGAGTAGCAGTGTTTAAGCTTAAACAATCGTTGAAACGATAACATGTAAGTACCATCTCGTAACAGGGAATTCTCATAACTTTCATAAATTTTACTTTAAATTTTGTGTTTATTTTTATGTTTTTTTTAAGCAATGTACTTTTCACGTATATATGTCGTTTTCAAAAAAACATCGCAATAGTATGTATATATTTTAAATTATTTAATTATATATACATAATTTTTCATTTCAGATACAATATAGGTTCCTTCAAGAAAATAAATATGTCGAATATAAAAATCATTGCGATATTAATCGCAATTTTTTGTTTGACAAATCATTTAGTTTTAAGCGATTATTGTTACACTGATGATACAGATCCCTTTATGCACTTCGGTCCATACACACGTAATCATATTGTTCGTGGTGCAATAACTAATCCTCATTTGCCAAGTAGGTAATAGATTGTCACCTTATATCTACAAAAGTCAAATAATGCATAAATTATATTTTCTACTTATCTTTGTTATATTTTCTTTTTTTCATAGATTGTAAACTTCGCCAGATTTGGATGTTAGCTAGACATTCAATTAGTAGTGATAACAATTATTGGTCGCCTCATGTACATGAACTCTTGCAAAAATATCATAACAATATCTCCGAGAGCTATGACCTAGGCGGTAAGCATAATATAAATATTTTTAATCAGTTCATAATTTTTATATAATGTTACATTTATTATTAGGAGTTCATTTATGTGCAAAGGACATTGAAAAGCTGAGAGAGTGGAAAAAATATGAATTTCTAGATGATGATAATCTTAAGCTATTGATAAAGCAAGATAAACAAGATATGTTTTCTCTTGGTATACGATTTAAAAATTATTTCCCGAATTTTTTTGAATATGACTCAGTTAAATCTTTAAAACATGAATATCTTGTAAGTATTTTAAATTTAATGTATATATATTTATAAATTTTTATAATAATAAGTGACATTCATTTTGATCTATATATAGTTTAGAGGAATTGAACAATTGGGAACAAAAGATAGCATAAATAGTTTCATAAATGGTCTGTTTGGTAATGTAACTTTTGATATAAAAATAAAGAAGAAAGATAATTTATTGCAAGTTCGTATAATATTAATTATTAACCATTAAAATAACTTTTAATTGTATAATTGTTTAATGTATAATAATTTACAGTTTCATAATATTTATCAGCCATTTTTGAAACATAAGAGTGCATCACAAATGAAAGAATTTCATAAATATATACAATCTGCAGAATGGAATGAAATGCTTCAGAGTATTAGTGATCGACTCGGTTATTCGTCACCACTTCCTTTTAGTACAAAATCTTATTTTACAATTACAATTCAAATTTAATCTTTTTTCGTTTTAAACGAATTTTATATTAATTCTATTAATCAATTTTATTTAGGTACTATCAAATCTTTTTATCGTACTTGCACTTTTGAGACTATTTATTACGGGTCATCTCCCTGGTGCGCCATTTTTAGAAAGGAGGATCTGGAAAAGATTCAATTCAGCGAAGATTTGATGTCTTATTATCATTCAGGTTATGGTCAAAACATGAGACAAATTGTTGGATGTCCAATGGTAAAGGACGTGTACAATCATTTTCGGTAAGTATATATAGACAATCCAAAAGAAGTGGACCCTGTAAGTAAGATAGATAATTTTGAAATATCTCTTTAATGTTACAATTATTAACTGATTTTAGCTCTGTTAGTTGTATAAATAAATAAAACTTTATTTATTAATTCATATTTAATTTATAATTGATAAATATTTCATTTTTTAAATTTAAATTAAGTGTAAAAATTTCTCTTTATAATTTCATTCTTCTGAAATTTTATTAAATTTTTCTATATAATATATTTTAATTATAATATATTATAATTAAAAATATTTCAAATGGTTCCTAATTCAAAATTTGTTAAGTATTATATAATTAACTTTAGACTAGACTTTCGTTTAACATATAATGGAACTTGATCGGATGGGTTAATTGGACTATTATTTTTGAATGTGAAACATATACAAAAATATATTGAATGTTGGAATAAAAATAAAGAAAATAGATAATAGAAAATATATAATAATATATGCATAAAATATGAAAATATAAAATAATCGAGAAAAAAATCTTAAATTATAAAATAAAATATTATTATAATAAATGTAAAATTTTATTTTTTTTTTAAATGATTAATTATTATTTTTTCATATAATTTTATCTATCTTATATAATCTGTTTCAATTGCTTCATTACAATTGATTCTAAAAATATTTAAAATAAATATCTAAAAGATATCTATTTTTAAGAAAAATATTACAATTTTTTTTTATAATATGTTGAGCATTATTAATGCAAATTTATACAATATATAGGAATATTATAAATTAAAATTTTCTTTAATAATTATAGATAATTATTAAAGATATAATTTAATAATTATAGATATAATAGTCATAAAACCATTTTAATAAAAAAAAAAATGATTTATCTTTCTCAAAATTACTTTAATATAGTTGATAATAAATTATATGGAAATTACTTTTAAATCGAAGTATGTATAATATCATCAATAATAAATATCATCGCACCATATATTACATATGAATATTTTAGAAATTTCGAGGATGGATATGGTGTAGACGAACCGAAAGGTATTTTTTACTTTGCTGATATTACCGCGATTCAACTTTTGTTATCAACAATTGGAGCTGCAAAAGATCCAGAACCTTTGTTAGCTAAAAATTTCATCCAAGCAAGAAACAGGAAATGGTATCAAGCTCACTTAACGCCGCTCTCCGCGAATTTAGTGATTATGTTATTTAAGTACGTCCATGATTATTTTAGATTTTTTTTAATTATTCAGATTAATTTATTCTCTTCTTATTATTCTGCTAATATTATTTTCAGATGTAGTAAAGATTATAAGGTGAACTTGTACTTAAATGAAAAACCGTTAGATATCGATTGTTGCGAACACGGCATATGCGATTGGAATTTTCTGAGGAACAAACTAGAAGAAACTGTGTTCAACTGTAAAGCGGACATATGTCATGATTAATGTACATGTTAAATCGTGTTTTAAAGATATAGTATTTAATAATCTAGCAAAAGATAAGAATAAAGATAAGATAATAGGAGGATGATAGTATACTTTTGTTAAAAATTGCGTAGAAGAAATGACAATATAAACAACTTGAACGTGTATGTTGAAATCAATAAAGCTGATATGATGAAGAATACGGTCATATCCTATGATGCCTTCAAATTCAGTTACAATTACTTGATATTGTCATTTAATTTTCAAATTTGCATATAAACCTTTATTGTCAATTAAATTGACAAATTATATACATATTGTTTAATTATATTTTATATTTAATTATATATTATATACATATATTGTTTATTTATTCAATATGTCATTTAATTTTTTAAATATAATGTACATGTCATATTAAATTTAAATTAAAATATTAGGATTAATGTATTAGTAAGTACCAATATGCATTTTACACATATTGTTCAAATTTTTTTTAATAAATTATACAATGCACCGAGCAATTTTTAATGTTCTGTAATTTACCATGGATAGATATTTTAATATTAGAGATATCAAATTACAAATATTTTATTTTTTTTATTAAATCTAATTTTTTTAGCTTAATTTTGTTTATTTAATTTAAATATTATTTTATAATACATGTAATTATTTTCATAATAAAGAGTGAAGAATTATATTAGAGTTTTCAATTTCAATTCCACTTTTTAAAGTTTTATTTCAGATTATGAATTCAAAATCACTTAACGAAAAAAAGAATATAATTAAAAAAAAAATTAATAAATATAATATTATACGATTTATAATATTAGAAATTCCATGATTAATTTCAACATCAAGATGGCCTTTAAAAAGAATGATCTACTAGACCAAAATGAAAACAAAAATATATATATATATATATATATATATATATATATATATATGTATATATAGAATATGTTTTTGATTTCGATAATTTTTATATATATTATAGAAATCGATATTTTGAATAATTTTTTCTTACGAAATATCTACAATCATTACTCTCTTAGTTTTTAAGATATTTGCAAAAAAAGTTTGTTAGTATCACTATATTAAATTTAACTTATAAATATATATGTTTTTAATATCGTATACATTGATATTGATTACTAATTATTAGAAAAAACGATCAAGAACAGAAGAAAATAATAATAGTAGAGGAACTTAGAAATTAAAAATAAAGATAGAAGAAATAATGAATGTTTTATTTTCATCATATTATCATATCATAAAACAAAAAACTTGCCCAAACAATATAATACAATAAAATATATGCAAATTTTCAATAAACATAATATTTAGTATTAAAATAATATGATTAAAATATGGATATTGAATTTTAACTATTATTTCTTTTGATTCAATCTTATATCAATCTTATATCATAAAAAACATTATTAAGAATCATATATATTCTAACCATGGTCGACAATATCGCTATTTTTGCGAAAATTATTTTTTTACCTACCAAAAGTCTGTATGGATAATTAAATCTATTAAACGTGTAATTTTAAATCAGGACTCAATAGTGAAAATATATACTCTAATCATGTCATAAATCTTAAATTTGGCATCTTGTTCATAATTTATTAGGCTAATCTTGACAGTATATTTGTTAAAATTTTCATTCTCAAGTTCAACATGATACACACTAAATCTCTGTTTTTTTTAAAGAACGTATAAAAAGATATAAAAAAAATAAAACGAATAGAAGATTTTAAAAATGCTAACATTTCTCTTTTTAGGTAGATAATATCAGATTCTTTGATGTTGTGCACAGTCATTCTCTTGATCGCATATGTCATGATTAAAGCACAACAAAGCAAAACAATAATTCAGAGATTCACATTCATTTATTTAATGATAATTCATATCATATTAGTTCCTTAAGAGGAAATAAAAACCAGGAGGCATAAGAAAATACAGTATAGTTATATTACATAATCTCAAATATACATACATATATACATATAAGGGTGCCAATAAACATCGTAATCTAAACGATCAATCTGCACTAGTAACAAATATCGAGTGCAAGTGGTTGAGATAAAGATTTATCAACTGATTCACTGAGCTATGTACGATATTTTTATACACATAAAGATAATTAAAAGAAGCAAGTTTCTGTGTAAAAAAACATATTCGATCTCTTTAATCTAAAATCTTATGAGTGTGTTTTGATTTATTTTTATAGATTTTGTTAGATTGAATATCATACAATGATTCATTATGAATTTAAATAAAATATACAACAATTCATCTATAGATTTAAATAAAATATTATATAATGTCGAATATTTTAGAACTTGTTCTAAGTAAAATTCTTTTTGTTAAATAAATAAATCGTATAGTATATTATATATTATATGCTAAATTCGGAAATAATTAATTGTTTATTTGAAAGGATATAAATTCATCATCTTTTCAGTAAAGTGATATATATATATATATACAATACTGCCATGTATCCAGTTGATCATTTTCATTTTACTATTTTATCATCTCTTAAACTTAACATCTCTTAAACTTATCATCTCTTTAACTTAAAATACTTATATTCATTAGCCATATTGCCATATATATATAAATATCCTATATAGATATATTCATTTCAAAATTTCAAAATTATATTATTAAGAAATATATAATTATATTTATATTTTATTAATGAAAGATTATTATCGATATTAATCATATATTTTTTATTTTTTTATTGAAATGTTTATATACTATCAATAAAATATATTTATTTATTGTTATCTATTGCTAAAGTATTGTTATTATTATTTGGCTGTATTGCAATTGTTTTGGTTTATATCATATTATATATTATTCATTTATTATATTATTTTTTTTTTGCATTGCATAAAATTGCATAAAATGTGCTTCAATATCTTTAAAATAATTTATTTCATTTGATAGATTTGTATATTTGTTAATTACATATAATTGGACATTATTTATTATTACATATATATATCTAATATATCTAATCTATCTAATATAATCTAATCTAATATATATCTAATATATATGTATATATGTAATATATATGTAGTAATATATTATATATATATATATATATATATATTTTTATGATTTTTTCTAGTATATTGAGTATAAATAATAACGAATAATAATAATAATATTTGATATCGTTACATAATTCTGATTAAATAATTTTGTTTCATCAAATAATTTTAAAATAGTTCTGTATATTATTAATAATTTCCCATTCTTCAATTATTCTATATTCTTCTAATTATATAATTCTGTAAAAGTTCCCAATAAAATTGTTTTTAATTCAATGAAACGAAGAGAATTTTATAAATAAATTGTCTACATTGCATCGTATCATTATGTCTCTTTTTAAACTTAAAAGTTTAGATAAGATTTATAGAAATTATTGATTTTTTAATAATAGTAGTGGACATTTTTTAATTTTACAGATATTTTTCCTATTTTATAAAATATTCATTATGCAATTAAATTTATTATATATCTAAATAGAAATAGTTTTTTCATAATCACTCATAATAGAATGTAACAATAAAATTAATTTCCTAAAATATATATTTTTGGACTTCGCATGAATTATAGTAGCGTATCTATTAGGAAAATAAAAAATTAATAATGTGTTAGATTTTAAGATATTAATCGTGAAAAAATGGGGAATAATTTAAAAAAAAAAAAATATTTATCCATGTATCTATAAATTAAATGATATTTTTGTCGAGTTTTTTTATATGTTTCGGAATAATTTTCCAACAAATATTTATTAATTTTATAATAGAGTTTTTCTATTATAAATATTTTATATTTCGTGTGCAATGTTTCAACTTAATAAATCCTTCATCATTTAACATTGAAAATAAATACTTTCATTTTTATGTAATTTCTTTCGTATCGAATCTATTAAATCTAATTCTTATTGAATCTATTAAATACTTTCATATCATCAAAATTTCTTGATGTATTTTATATAGCATGACCAGAACTTGTAAATGATAATTTGTAATGATCTATATTCTGATAATATATTATCTTCATATTATGTGATTTAAAATATTGAAATTATTGAAAACATTTTAATGGAATTACATAAGTTTTTTTTTACTATTTTTTGAGTGCTGTATAATTGTAGTAAAAAAACTTAAAAAAAATATATATAATAAATATACTTAATTTATATTTCATATAATTTGAAATATACATTTACAACAATTCTCTTCATTATATTAAATAAAAATATAATAAAAAACATTACATAAAAATACAATAAAATATAACAATAAGATAATATAATAAAAAAATATAAAAAAATAGTAATTAATATATATTTTTCATTGTTCTCACTTATTTTTCGTTTTTTGAAACTAATTTATTTGCTGATTTTTTAAGACTGATGTTAAATAATTTCATTATTATTTATATTTACAAATTCAGCCAAAATGATAGCAAAAACGATATATATATATATATATATTAATATCATATATATATATATCGTTTATTATTATATATATCGTATATATCGTTTATTATTATATATATCGTATATATCGTTTATATATATATATATATATATATATATATATATATATATGATTGTCAATTAAAAAAGTTTAAGAATTTCTATTTAAACTCTCAAGAATTAAAGATTTAAAAAAGCAAAATTATTCAACTTTCCATAATATATTGATTGATTAAATAATATATATATGTTATGTTTATATTTACAATAATATAATTTAAAATAAAAAAGTATTATAATGAATTTAATAATGTATTTTGTATTAAATCAATTTTAGTGATTTTTTTATCCTAATAATTTATTTATCCTAATAATATTTTAAATATATTATCGATAATAAAATATTGATAATTCTAATATTACAGCAAACATAAACTAGATATAATAGTAAACTAATTATATAATATATGTTTGTAATCCAAATTTTTAAAATTTCATTTTTGTATTACTTGTAGAGATCCAATAGAATACAGAATCTGATTATGGCGAAGTTCTGAGAGATTATTTTGGTAGAAATTATAAATACCGTAGCGACTAAAATGAAAAATATTTAAAATAAAAAAAAATTTATGAAACAATCAATTGGCTAAATCTATTGACGAGATCTAGATTAATGCAATTTCTTGAATTGTTTTTAAAAATAATTATGTTGATTAATTAATATTAATTAATATTAAATATATTTATTAGATTAAAAATATAAAATTATTCTTATAATTTAATCAAATACAAAAATACAAAATTTTCTTAGTCTTAATTAAAAATATATCATAAAATTATTTTTTATTGTTGTAATTTAATCAATCAGTTTTTTTCAAAATCTTCGTTAAATATATAGATCTACAATCAATTATTTCGTTTATTGATATCTCTTCATCATTTATTAATCTAAATAATCCTAA